CTTCTCATGAGTGAGAAGTACCAGGAAGTACTTAGCAATACGGTGCTAAGAATACAGAGCACAGTATTGCAATGTGTGTCAAGTTAAAACTCTGCAACTCAGCATCCACTGGAGTTAGAAGACCTGGGTCTCTTTTCTGGATTGTTCTCCATATTTATTTTCTTAGATTGGAGCAAAACAATTTATAATGAGGTGCACAGCAGAATCAGGAGCAAGCTGGCAATACTTTTTTTCTTTCATTCTGTTACTTAGCAMGCCCTTACTGAGCACACACATAATGCTACACACTCTGCTCCATGACCCATCTCTCACTCACCAACCATTAGTCAAGCAACACCATAGGTTGAATGACTTGGAAGCCAATGAACATGAACTTTCTCTTTTGTGTACACAATCAAACAAATAAAAACTTGTGTCAGAGTGTCTTTTGGAGGCTGAACATTAAAACTCAGCCAAGTTCAGCAAGTAGGCTCTCCCAGTTTCCTGGGTCTATTTCTTACTCTTTGTAGATAAAGATGAAGAGCATTTTAAAGGAAGGGCCTTCTGGAGGCAGAATGGTCTAAGATCTGCTCATTGATGGGAAAGCCTTTCCTTTCTCCCTTGTCTTTTGATTTAGGAAGGGGATTTGATAAATGGATAAAATAGCATCTTTTTTTCTTTAATTTTTGGAGTAGCCAATGAGTGGCAGAACTAGCAATCAAACCCAGAGGTCTGGTGATTGGAAGGGTGCTTTCTACCATCTCTCTCAACACAACCTTTGTAACAGTCCTCTACCTCCCTTTTTAGACTGGAAGAGACCTTAGCAGAAGAGTAAGCTATATATCACAAGACAGTTCTCAGAAGCAGCAGAGTCCTCTAATACAGGAAGTTTTCCACAGAGCCCCTGACAGCCCACCCCACTGCATACTGGTTTAGAAGGCCTTGTATATTTTTCTGGAGTTTCCTGTGTTTTACCCCAATCTAAAACACAAAACACTTTAATGTCTTCTCCTCTGCCCTGATGTAGACTCCTTGAGAAAGGGGCCATGTCATTAATCTATATCCACAGGAATTGGCACATAGTGGGTGCACAAGCTCTTGATGAATGCAGTGGGTTGATGGATGGACAGAAAATGCCCCTTGATACCATGGTCCTTCTCAGTCTCCTTCCTTCCTTCCTTCCTTCCTTCCTTCCTTCCTTCCTTCCTTCTTTCTTTCTTTCTTTCTCTCCTCCTTTACTCCATATTGAGGATGGTACCCAAGGGTGCTCTACCTCTGAGCTGCATCTCTAGCCCTTTTATATTTCTTTTTATTTCAAGACATAGTCTCACTAAATTGCTGATGCTAGCCTCAAACTTTGGATCATCCTGCCTCAGCCTCCTGAGTCCCCAAAGCCAGCTGTTGGTCTTATTTCTCATTTTCTGGACTAAATAAAAACACCCTTTAATAAAAGATGCCTTCCCTATGTTTTTGGTGTTTATTTTGTTTGAGAGACTCATACTCACAAGAGGCTACAGGGGAAGTGAGAAACTATGTTTAGAACTGGTCAGAAGGGTTCCAGAACCTCTGGGCTGTGGTTTTCCCCTCTGGTGGAACTTAAAGTCTTATTTCTCTTAAAAGGTATCTCTGAGATAGGTGGCACTTGCCACTTACTAATCATTTTCCTTAGTGGTCTCACAGGAAAAATCTTTGAAACGTAAAGCTGAACAGACTCAGAGTTCCTTAAAAATAACTATGTACAGCTAAGAGAGGTCTAGTCATTTGCCCAAAGTTCACAGCAGGTTGGAACAGGGCCTGATTTCTCATCTGGCTTCCTGTGGTTAACCTTGCTGTGCCTCTAGTGGCCTCTAGGGAAATCTGCCACTGACTGACTGACTGACTTCCTTCACCCAACATTTATGTAGCACCTACTGTGAGTCAGGCAGTGTGCCGGGACCATGCACAGGAAAATTAAAAGACAACAGTCTTTGCCCCTCAGAGGCTTTCTTCTCTGACCTGCACCCAAGAGAGCTCCTACTTTTCCACAGCTTTGAGCCAAGGTTCTCGTGGCCTGCAGCATCTTGGTGTGAGCAGAGATTGATGGACACTTAGGCTCCAGGCTTTTCTGGGACCTGATGGGCCAGTGGGTCCCAGCCCCTCCCGCCTACCCTTGGAGCTTGTTGCCGCCGTTACCATCGAACCAATCATGCCAGAAAGTCATCATGATGATTTCAGAACTGCATTGTGAATTATGCAAAGTGCCCGGATAATTACAGCCGGGCGCTCAGAACACAGGACGCATATGCTGCGGGTGTGTGTGCCCGTTTGTGCCTTTTGCCAGGGATAGATTGTGTGTGTGTGTGTGTGTGTGTGTGTGTGTGTGTGTGTGTGTGTAGGCGCGCGCGCACATAAACGCGTGTTCAGTGGACATCTTGACACACGGCTTGATTAGAAACTGGTGTCATGAGAAAGAAAGAACATTCCGATTTTGATTTTGTGACAATTTGGTGCGTCTCAGGAATATTTTTCATAAGCGTTGGTGCTTGCAAATGAGCCAGCAGTGGGGATGTGGGGAGGGGGAATAGGGAAAGAGGTGATTTGGAGCCCAGGAAAGCCATTATTGTCCTATTTCTGAGCCCCCGCACTCACAAAGCAGCTCCCAGTTCTCCTCCTGGCTACACAYACTTAAACTTTCCCCTAAAGACAGGCCCGGGTCTAGTCTCCCACCCCGGCCCTCATCTTTGCCCGAGACAAATTAGTTTGACTCTTGAAGTTCTTTGTCCTTAACCAAGCGCCCCCTTCCGCCTCCGCATCCTGATCGTGGTGGTGGTGGCGGCGGCAGCAGCAGCAAGTGGATTTCTGGCGGGAACCAGAACCTGAGGATCCMAAACAGAGCCTGGCATCTTAATTGTTTCTCAAACCCTTACCGGAAATCCTTTTGCTCCCTGGGCGCGGAGTTCGAGCTTGCCTAGTCGCACACAGGGCTCGATGCGCACGCGTCTGCCCAACTTGACCGTAAAAAAAGAAAAAAAATGTTGATTTCTCGGCTTGCTACCTAAAAAATCTCTTAGGCTATGGCTTTGTCCCKCAATGCCCTAATCTCGTCCCAATTCGAAAGACCGAGGATGACTTAGGAAATAGTCATCCACCTCTTGTTCTTTCCGGGTCGCCCGGGCCCCCGCGCCCTGCTGGCTGCATTGTGAGGAGGACGCGGGATCTGGTGTGCGTGGTGTGCGCCGCCTGGGGCTTCAGGCCACAGCTAGATAGCTGTGGAAAGTTGAGGTCACGTGTTGAGGCCGCCAACCTGAATTAACAGCCTGCGCCCCCTGGGACGCTGGTGGGGGGTCGATCTGCTGCGTTCTCCGTGGGCTCGGGGAACTCAAGCACTCACTTCCATGCACAAATTCTATTTGGAGATTCAAGTTGACACMGAGTCGGGAGAAAGTGGAGGCCAGGGACTGGGGGCGGGAGGTAGGAATTACTTAGCGCTGGCCACCTCTCCTTCACCCCAGAACACCGCGCAAAGGGCCGGAGGCATGACCCCTGACCCCTGGCCAGGCCCACGCCCTGAGGAGAGGCTAGCAAGCTCTTGTTCAACAAGTTCAAGCTGCCCAAAGAGCTTAAAGAGAATTAATCTCTTAGTGATCGGAGATCACCGCTCTCTTGGCGTGCGCTCTCCCAGCGCTGTGCAAGGACCGGGACGCCAGGGCTCAGAAATCGCGGGAAGGCTAGTGGGATGGGGCGGGAGTGGGGGACCTCTCCAGGATCTCTGAGCCTGGAGAGAGGGAGCCAGCGACGCCCGCTGGGGACAAGCTGCGGGAGGGAAAGCTCTGCTTTCCAGCCTCTCCAGTGTGCATAACGGAGTCACCGGAGCTTCGTTCAGTTCCGGATGGGCCGGTTTTGCTTGGGAGAAACTGGCGTTGCCCTCCCCACACATCAAGTGCCCAAACCCACCACGCGGAAGGTCGAAGGAACGCGGTGCCTCCGCAAGAACCCATCCCAGGCCCCATGACCGCACACAGCATCCTCAGCTCTGACTTTTCATAGAGAGTTGCAAAATGAATATATTACTCACCTCGGGCCAGATCCAAGTTTTACCCAACAGAAGAGGCACGGGACCAAGAATGAACCAACTCATGTGGCTATGTCCAGCGTGCACAATCACACACAAACACAGCCACCCCATTTCTTCCACGATTTTATCTGTCTGGCACTCTGGAGAGAGGGGGGAAAGCGTTTTGAGAAAGCCCCATCACCCCTCCCCTTCTCCCTTACCATGAAATATAATAATTCATTTTTTATTACAAGAGCAGCACCGTCCTCACCATCACGCACGCACAGAGCCTCACTCCCATATTCACACTCTAACTCGTCAGCTCCGAGAGCGCCTGCATTTTCTTTGGGAGCCGCTTGGAGGTTCATTAATATCATTAGCATTTAACCCCCTCCCTCTTCCCATCTCCTCCCCGCACATGGCTGACGTCAGACCCCGCCAGGAGTTGGGGGAAAAGCTAAGTGGGCCAGGGACGCCCTATTCCCCTCCCCGCGGCTGCCTGTCAGAGCGCTTCTGGAGATATTTCAGAGGACCCAGCCCGCAGCGACAGGCACAAAGTCACGGGGTAATGAACTTCGGGGACCCTTTGCCGCTGCGTGCGCGGCTCTCCCCGGAAACCCGGACCTGGCCGTTTCTTCCCTCGGAAGATTTCCCAGCAATCTAGTTTTCCCACTCGGCTCTCGGGTTCCGGCAGCACGGAGCCCATCTGCCTCTGAGCCTGCGGTTGTGTTTTTCCATCTTTCTTTAGAAGACCAGCGGTCTGTAGAGATCTGCCCACACTCTGCATGCCTATGTAGAGGGAGAGGTTGAAGACTGAGTGACAGGAATGGGGAAAGAGAGGGATTTTACCCTTTTTGTTCCATAGGCAGACCATTTTCGTGTCTCCATCTGTCTTTCAATACCCTTCTCGTACTGTCCTCCCTTCTTCAGCCTTCCTGTCCATCTCTCCATCTGTCTGTCCATGTGTATGTCCATCTTAAGCAGCAATCCCAGCAGCCGCAGTTTTGCAAGAGGCGGGAAGAAACTTAAGGATGCTTAAATTTCCACTGTGGAACGAATTCTGAGCACCGGGAGAGCAGCGCCGCGCGCGACCGATACCCACCTGTCGGGCCCCGAAGCTTTGCAGGCTGGAGGGCGGCTGGCGAGCTGCGGCGCCCGGCAGCGAGGCGGGCGCTGCCGGCCGGGACTCCGGCAGTGCCCACCAACCGCTCCGCCCCGGGACCGCCAGCATGAGCAAGCCGGCAGGATCAACAAGTGGGTACCTCTCCCCGCCGCGGTGGGGCCCAGGCGCGCAGCCTGGGGCGGGCTGGCGGGAGGCCGGGGAGATCCTGTTCGGTGCGCTGCGGCTCCTGAGCCCCCGAGAGGGACGTCAGCGGGCGAGTGCCCTTTGGCCCAGGTCCTCGTAGACCGTGAGTCGGATGGTTTCGTGGAGAGTGGAGAGCAATTTCGTTGCTTCTGGATTGCTAGATTCCCCCTCTCTCTGGTATGGTGGGAAGGTTGCGACCCACTCAGCCCACCAGTCCAGCGAGTTGTTTCCATTTAGCCGCCAGGTGCTGGGGATGGGAGGGGTGCGACGGGGGCGGGAACTGGGCCGCAGCTCCAGGCGGCAGCACAATAACACATTCGCTCAAAACTCGGAGCTCCAGCGCGCAAAAGCAACTCTCTGCAAAGCGGATTTTGAATGGAATGCTTTGCACCCCTTTTCTAGCTATTTCAAATAATCCTGCAAAACTGGGAAGCAGAAACAATTTAAAAGTCACATTTTCTTTAATCCTAAATCCGCGTAGGTCATAACTGGGGAATTTAAAGTATGGCGAACCACTCTAGCAAAGAGAGAACCAAATCCCTAATCCCAAGGACTTTTCGAGCCGAAGCTCAGCAGAGGCAGGAGTACGCGGCCTGCTCCCTCCGCGCGCTCTCTCCTTCCTCAAACTTCCTTAGCCGCTGCCAGTCTCACCCACTGCCAACCCGCAGCTGACCTGTACCCACCCCACTGCGGGACTGCAGGGCTACTTGAGAGCGTGAGGACATTTGTGTGTGCAGTCCCAGCGGAACCCGAGAATGTGCAGGCCTGCGCCGGCGTTGGGAAAGCGCGGCCGCGGGGCTCGGATCTCCCCCCCAGGCTTTTCAGTTCCCGCCTTCTCTGGGTCGGGGGCTGCGGGTTCCAGTGTACAGGACTGTGGCTGCCACAGCCCTCACATCCCGGAGTTCTCCCGCCGCCGGTGTGGTTTTCGCCTATAACATTTTTGACGCTCAGTGCGTCCTTCCCGCCCCCTCCCCCCTCACTCGCCCTCATTGTCCAGAGTCTGAAAGTTGGGAGAGTCCAAGATACTTGTGAGGACTGATAATGAAGTTCCACTTAGGAGGGATGCAATTCCCGCCCCTGCCTTCCACCCCCGCAAGAAGTAGGTGGTGTTTTTATTTTGTTCACTTGTTTTGATTAGGGTAATGCCGTTAAAAAAATTAGAGCAAAGTGAGCGTGAACAAAAAGAGAAAAGGAGGAATATTTCGGGCTAGAGCAGAGAGAAAGAGAAGGGATCTTAGCCTCGCTGGGAACACACAGCCGACCCTTGCGCAGGACTGGCGGGTCCCTCGGGCCTATCCTTGCTGTCGCTGTTAGAATCTCCGGGAGGTGAGGCGGGCTCCCTTTTTGTTGCCCCAGTTCCCAGAGTGCCTGCCCTTCACTGGAGGCGCAGAAGGAGGCCTTTCCTGGGGCATTCTAAGTCTATTTCAAAAAACGAAGCTTCGGGCCTGGGCAGGCCTCCTGGCTCCTTCGCCCTGGGACAGGCCCTCAGTTCCCGCCCTGGAAGTAAGAAACCTCGAGCTCTTTTGCCCTCTTGGGGTGCAGAGATAACTGGGGGCTTGAAAGGTGAGGGCTCAGTGGCCAGGAAGTGGGCAAGCCCTCTCTGTGGACTGGATTACAGGCGGACCCTCAGGATTTGGGGGGTGGGAGAAGGCAGAGTGGGCACATTAGGGAAACTTGAGAGCTTCCCAACTTGCCAAGCCTGCATTCGACCTTGGAAGCCTTAAGCCCGGCTCAAGTTGGACGCCGCTGCTGAGGTTGCTTAGGCCGACAGGACAGCAGCCCCGGCCCCCAGCGCTGCTGCGCCCAGGCGCWCTTCAGACCTGTGGCTGCAGCCTGCCCGAAACCTGCGGCCCTCCAGCCGGGGGCGGCGAGGGGGTCGGCGCGCAGCAGGCCGGGTCAGGACGGGGCTGGACTGCGGAGGTCTTCATCTCCCGCCTCGCTCGGCTTCGCGCAGTTGGAGGGCAGAGCGATGTCACCCGGAGCCCCGCCTGGGTGGTAACAAGACCCTGGCCAGTCACCCCTGCAGCCCAGACTAACTTCTTTCAACAGCCTCTGATGGTAATTACAGTAATCGAAGCTGCCATATATCTTTAGGCAATTATGACACACAAAAAGCCCCGAGGGGACCCCCTGGCGAGGGAAGTTAAGAACGGTTTTCCAGCCTGAGGAAACTCCGGCTCGCCTCAGGTCGGAGCTCGCTCGGCTTGCTAAATGAGAGGAGCTTTGCAACAGGGTCAACCAGTGTGTCTCGTGACCCCAAGTCACCCTAACGTGGCTGGGTGGCGGAATCTGAGGCACAGACCCGCTATGCCCAGGAATTTTCGCGTCCCTCCCTCCTGGGCCCCGCCCCAGCCCATTTTCCTGTCTCTAATCTGCCCCAGGAGCCTCGGCACCGAGGTCTGCCCCCAAGGCAAGGCCGGCCTGCAGCGGTGGCGGCCCAAGTAGCCACCAACGGGGAGTCCGGGCCCAGGGAGCCAGAGAAGGGTCACCAATCCCTTCACCCCCATCGGATTCTCCAGGGAAGTGTGTCCTTGGCCTCCGGTCTGGATGGGAAGCAGGGAAGACCCCGTCACTGCTCCTCCCACACACTCATCTTGGCATCATCCAGAGTGCCAAGGGGAAGAGGAGGACAGCTGGGGCGACTTTATTGCTGGGCCCCAACACGGACTCCAGCGCGTCCAGAGCGCGTGTGATATGCAGAGGAGGGTGGTGGCAAAAGACGGAAACCAAATTTTCAGCTTCCCGAGTGAGAGCGATGCAGCAGAGCTGGCCCGGCTCCTGGGCGGCCGTGAATTCCTCCGGGCTCAGTGACAGACTCCCTGAGGGGGTTGAGGACAAGACCCGCTGTGGCCTCCGTGGGCTCTCTCCGGCCCCTCCCTCCCCTAGCACAACCTCCCCTCCCGCCCTGCGGGAGAGGGGGCGCCTAGGCGGTGGCCGCAGCGCCGAGCGCCTCCCCCCACCGTCCTTTGTCGCGGTCCGAATTCCCATGCTACTCTTTTTGACGGGTCACTGGTGGCTCTATAGGCAGGTGCTGCGGCTGGGTTGTAATTACCCGGGCTGAGCCTGGTCGTTACCAACCTCCCCTCACAGCCCGGTCCCCCTCTCTCCCCCCTCCACCTGAGGCTGAGGCCCCGGCCCCGGGTGCAAGCCCGACCCGACGCCTTGGAGTCCAAGCGAGTTTCCACCTGGGATGCCTCCCGGTCCCTCCCCACGCCGCGTCCTCACCTTCCTAGTTCCCCTCGCTGAGTGGTCTCTGGCCTCTCCCGACCCCAATCTAAGTGCTCTGGGAGCAGCTGTCGAGTTTCCCAGAGGCCTGAGGTCTCCCGGGCCCAGACAGGAGGCCTTTGGACGGGTAGCGATGGGAAAATCAAGTGTTAATAAGTTAATTGTTATTAAGTAATATTTTATTAAAGTGTTAACACTTTTAAAAATACTCCCTTTGTTTTACGGAAGGAAGGATTTCTAAATCCCAATAAACGGATTCAGGCACTTGTTGGACTCTTGAACCTTAGAGGAAAACAATTCCCCCCTCTCTGAATTTTTGCATATTATCCTCTCCCTAACTCCCCCAGGGGCCGCGACCACCCCAGGTTCAGGGGGGATTCCAAGTAAAGTTCTCTGGAGCAGGAGTTCAGTGGGGGTGGGGAAACAGCCTAGAGAAATTAGAACCTTAAAAAAAAAAAAATCAGCCTCTGCCAGCGGCAGAACGACCCGGAGGAAGACTCACTTAGGACTAAATAAGAGGAGGCCGTCTTTTAGGGTAAAAGAACTTGGGGAGTAGAAGAGATGGCTGTCCCACGCTATCGTGGGACAACTTAATGTCGCTCTCCCCTCTCTTCCTAGACCCGTTCTACTTTGCGCTGAAATTTTTATCCTAAAAAAATAATAATAATTTCTCAAAAGCGCTCCAGCAAGCATTTTCTTAATAGGTAAAAAGAGAAAGTTGGGCAATTACCACTACCCTTATTATCATTAATAATCCGAGTATTAGCATCACAATAATAATCCTAATAATAACAACCGCCCGGCAGAGCTCAGAGAAAACTCGATTGCCTTCCAGCTGCCATCCCTGGTTCCAGCCGTGTTTGTTTTTCTTCTTTTCCCTTTTACATTTCAAGTTTGTCTCCTCGCGCGCTAACAACTTTCTCTGTTAAATGCAAGAGCTGAGGAGGGAGGCGGCCAAACTTTCCGCGGAGCAGAAAGGCAGCGGCGGGCAGTGCTGCCGCCCGGGCCTGCTGTAATCTTTTATTCCAAAATGGGTCTCGGCGATTAGGGGAGACCCAAATACATGTAGCGGTGCATGAATAATGCTCATTGTAGGAAACTGACACTTGCTCAAGGAAAAAAAGTTTGGCTATAAAATCACTTCATTATTTGCTTTTACCGCAGCTTCGATGCTAATCCCTTCAGAGGTCAGATTGCTTAGCATCTCTCTCTCTCCCTCTCCCCTTTCCTCCCTCTTCTCCGCCCTCCTCTCCCTCTTGCCTCTYACCGCTCCCCCCCCCACCCCCGCCCCACACACCCTGTCTTCCCTGCCATTTCAGGCCGCATTTTAGATATCCCCTGCAAAGTGTGTGGTGACCGCAGCTCGGGGAAACACTACGGGGTCTACGCTTGCGACGGCTGCTCGGGGTTTTTCAAGAGGAGTATCCGAAGGAATAGGACATATGTCTGCAAATCTGGAAACCAGGTACCTTAGCCAGGGCTGCACTGCCCGGCTCCCCTCTGATACCTCCCCTTTCTTTGTGCCAAGGCCTCCTCTGCGTTTCCRTGCTGCAGAGGAGAGGCCAGGCCCGGGCCTCTCCCTTCCTCTCCCCTCCTTCCTGCCCCAGCTCTGGGAGGCCCTTTGGCTCTGGAAAGGCCGGATAAGGTAAGGGAAGACAGATTCTAGAGGAAGTCTGAAATCTCATAGCCTTCCTACACTTTTTTTTTTTTTTTAATCCCCTGACAGATTTTGACACTGGGTAAGGCCCTTGCCTAGTGGCTACAAGCCTGCCCAGGAGACCTAAGGAACTTTAGAATCTAAACCACAAGAATCAAGCAGGAGAAAGGGCTACCTTAAATTGCCTGCCCACCTGACCCCCATTTCTAGCAGCACCCAGGTTCAGTCTACTGACCACTGGCTGGGATGGCAGAAGTAAAGGCACATGGGCATATGAGTCAAGGTCACCACTACTAAGCCTTAGCTACTTGGAAGACAGAGGCAGTGCTCTGAGATGGGCCATCCCTTTTCAGCTAGGGAGAAGCAGAGCTGTTCTGAAAGTGGATAATGGGGCTTCAGCACCCATGTTACTTTAGCAGGGCCTTGTCAGAAAAGGGCAGGGTGAGGAAGAAGACTCAAAGAGGGTGTAACTGGGCTCCCTCCCAAATTCCCATATCTCCTTCCACCCTTTCTGCTTAGAAGATGTGCCTAATTGTGTTTTAGTCTCCAAGAGACAGGGCATTCAGGGTATGAACTGAGTATGAGCCAAAGCATTCAGACATCGTGAGCTAAAACCCCTGATTGACTCAGTTTACAGCTCAGTTATAAGCTTATTTCAACCTAGGAGATCAAACCTTCTGTTAGTACACTCTGCTCTCTTTTTAGCCAGACATACAGACCCTCAGTACAGAGTCTCTGCCTTCATTCCTGGGAAGATCCCTGAGAGGGCATTAGTAAGGAGGCATCCTTTGGTATCCAAAATGACACAAGGCTTTCACTAATTAATGTATATGATACACATGAGCACATGCATACGCCATCTGATGCTAGTGAATTATTCTGACTTCCTTTTCTGCAGGCATGTCTGCTCATATCAATTTCTGATAGCTTTGAATTGGCAGCAAATACATGAACATATTTGCATTCGGATGTCATTTTCAACTCTTCAGCCCTGTTACCTGTTTAATTGAATACTGAGATCTGTATATGTTTCTAGCTTCACCTTATGGACACATCACCTTATGAACAGACATAAGACTGTATCCCAGTAGCTCCACAGGGCTGGGATTACTCTGTGTTTTCAGATTTGAACAGGCTTCTACTTTGATAATCTTTTACTTTTGTGCAACATGCAGAATTGGGAAGCCTCAGATGTTATGCTTGATATTTTAAAAGGAGGTGGCCATCCACACATATTGATTTCAATCCAAGTACTTATACAGGAGGGATAATAGACTCATCAGGCCTGGTGTTCCTTTTCTTGCGAAGAGAATAAAGAGGCTGAGCTGAGGCGCTCATTCCTTCTTCTCTCAGCCTTCAGATATCTATATACATTTTATCTGATGTGAAGACACACTTAAGTACTAATAAAGGTTTCTAATTTGCATTTGCATATTTATCAGAATACTGGGAAGATATCATTTGGGGACAAACCTTTGATTGTATTTAATAAGTTCTTTAAATCTCTTTACATTGAGTTATTATACTGGCCCAAAATGCCCTGAAGAACACTCTTAGAAACTAATTTTTTTTCTTTCCTCTCTTTTATTTTAAGACTAGGTAAATAAAATTTCAATTTGTCATTAATAGCAATGAAGACATTTAGACATTTTTATGAACTGTCTCCATCTTTACTTTAAACAAATAGACATATTATTTTATTTAGCTTTGTTTTTGGTGCTGGAGATTGAACCCAGGGTTTCATGCATGCTAAGGATGCACTCTACCATTGAGCTAGACCCCTGGCCCAAAGCAACATATTTTTAATTGGAGGAGTATAATCATATAAAACTAAACATTCAAGTGTGTTATTTTCCCTAAGGGATATTTCAGGAGCAAATGTACTTGCTCCTATTTCAGAGTATATGAAGCAAAATATAAAGACATATATTTTATTTTCTTCTTTCCCACAACAAATGCAATGATGGCAACTTATATAAATATAGGAAAGCACCAAATTTCTTTGATATTTTCTGTGAATAAAATAACTATGCACAGCCTGTGGATGTAGCTCAGTGGTAAAGTGCTTGCCTAGCATACTCAAAGTCCTGGATTTGATCCTCAGCACCACCAAAAGTAATATTAAATAAAAAATTAAAAGTACATATTCCTCTTTATGTATCTATGCATATATTCCCTCAGTAATTACACCTAACACTAAATAAATTCTGAAAGAAACCTAACCTGTAAATTTCCTCTTTTTATGGTCAACACTTTTCCCCCAGAAAATTGCACTAGGTAAAACACTTATTGTCTTACTTRTGTGGGATAAATATTTCTAAAGTGGCAACTACCCATTTGTCAGTTTTTATGCTAATACTATCTGTCCCTATTATCTTTTTGTCAGACAGTCCAAGTACTTATACAGGAGGGTGTATTTACACAGTAGACATTTCTAGATGTTCCCCAGACCTTGGGCTCTTCCCTTCATCCCCTCATCTTTTGTAGGAAGGCCTTGCCATCCTAAGCACTCTGGCTTTTCTCTCACTCCCTGGGAATGCCTGTGTTTCCATTAATCTGAACTGAGGCTAGTTTTTAAGACTTGAGAGCTGTCTCAACAAGCTGGCTATAAGAGTGGCCTCAAGTACAAAAGCAAAAGTGAGATAACAGAACAGTGAAGAATGAATGGGAAAGATTTATCTGTCAGATAAATGGGCTCACCCAGAAAGTGGCAAAAGAGGTAGACTGGAGACCTGAAAGCAGAAAGAATAGTTAGCAGGGAGGAGGATGTAGGGTGGATCTTGACCCGCAAGACTGCTCCATACCAAGCTCAGGGCCAAGTCGCTGTCTTGGGTCCTGAAAAGTCTCTTCGTTACAAACCACTCTGCTACTGGTGAAACTGCCTTTCGAGGGCTTCTTTCAGCCCTGTGGGATCTGGCAAACCAGGCTTTCTGACCCTTCACCCTTCTTGTGGATCCAAAGAATCAGGGGCTAACCCACTTGCAGTGGGCCCGGGAACCCTAGCTCGATACCTGGCCCAAGTCTCTTTTCGAGAGCCTGCGGTTGCTGCCCCGGGGTCTGCGGTCTGGCGAGGTCCCTATGCCTTTCCTCTCGCCCTGGCACTAGAGGGGGCTTCTAGTCCCCCGGGGGCCGCTGACCTCCTGCGCTCTGTTCCAGGGAGGCTGCCCGGTAGACAAGACACACAGGAACCAGTGCAGGGCGTGTCGGCTGAAGAAGTGTTTGGAAGTCAACATGAACAAAGATGGTAATCAGTACATCCCTTTATTCTTCTAATGTTGATTGAGTAGTAAGTAAATTATATGTTCAGATAATACATGGCACTCCTATGCATGCAAATCATCTCCTGAACACAACACTTCTTTCCAGATGCTGGGAATTGGCCTCGGGCTTTCCGGGCTTTCAGTTGTATCTGCTTCATCTTTTCACGAGTCACCCACACACCCCACTCAATTCCCCAGGACAAGGCCCATGCCCAAATCTGAAACTTGGCCCCCCAAAGCATCCTCAGAATGTCAGCGTTGGGGGGAACTCACGCAGCTCCAGACACAGTGTTTCCAGGCCTGAGTCCTAGAATTTTCGCTTTTTTTTTTTTTTTTGGCCATCCCCAAGACTGTTTTCCTCCCCCCAGAATCTCAGTCTAGATAATCTCCTTGGGGGGAGATTGTGGCTGAGATGGTGGCGGGTTGGAGAAGAAATTGAGGCACGAAAACCRGAAATTCAAGCTCCTTTTTGCAAATTCACAGATGCCAAAATCAGTAGGTCCATTAGGCGGGTCAAGGCTTTTCCAGAGCCTTTTCTCGGTTCTACAGCAAAGCGAGAAAAGGGGTTGGAGAGGCAGGGTGACGCCTTGGGTGCCTCCGACACCCAGTTCCCCTTGGGCTTCAGGATGCTTCTTGGGTATACAGCGCAGTCCAAGCTGAGTCCCCCATCGTGGCCTGGCGAGGGCCCTCCAGCCCCGGGCGTGAACCGGGGGTTCTGGGCGGGACGGCGGAATACTATCTAGGGACAGGGTGTCGAGTGGGCCTCGGGGTGGAGGAGGCCTGGGCGGGTGGCAGCCGCCTGAGGCACAGCGCCTATCCGGGAAAGCTCCTTCCTCCGCCGCTCAGGAGGCAGGAGGGAGCGTCCAACCTGTTGAACTTCTGTATTGACAAGTTGTCAAGCTCGGCGGGCGGAAGATTGCCCTGAATTAATTTGTTTGTTTAAACTGTTGGTGGTAATTGTCACATCTCCCCTGCCTTCCTCCAGCGCACTCGGAGAGGAGCTCTCCCATGTCCCATCCCCCAGCGTCCCCGGGGCTTGGGTCCTTTTCTCTCSGGGCCTTGGAGGCCAAAGCTATTCCTGTGGGGGTGGGTCTGGAGGTCGGGGGAGTTGTTTGGGGGAGGAGCTGGAAATATCTGTCCAGAGACTTTGTGCCTAGATGTGAGTGACACTCCCTCTCCCCGTCGTGGGGGCTGGGGGCGGGGGCTAGGGCACTTCGCTACTCCCGCCCAAGAGTCTGTGGTTAACTTGCTAGCCCCTGGGTGAGGATGAGCCCTGAACCCACCGAGAACACTTCTAGTTTTGCTTAAAGCCACAGTATTATGGTGGCCCTTGGGATACAGGCTCCTCTTCTTGGCCTCAGCTTCCTAATCCATACAGTGTAGGAGTTAAACGCTAACACAGCGCCTTCTGCGCTCACATTCCCTCTCCCCCCCTCTCTGCGCCTCTCGGGTGACTTCCCAGCCCTAATGTGACATTGGGATGACGGAGCAGCCAAGTGGGCGGCATCTCTGATCCTGAATGTGTTGTCCGCCTGTTCATCTCTGTAGCTGTGCAGCACGAGAGGGGTCCTCGGACATCCACCATTCGCAAACAGGTGGCCCTCTACTTTCGTGGACACAAGGAGGAGAACGGGGCAGCCACGCACTTCCCGTCTGCTGCTCTGCCAGCTCCCGCCTTCTTCACCGCGGTCACACAGCTGGAGCCGCACAGCCTGGAGCTGGCCGCAGTGTCCGCCACTCCAGAGCGTCAGACCCTCGTGAGCCTGGCTCAGCCCACTCCCAAGGTCAGTGGTCTTGCTGGGCCCTAAGAGACTGGAACCTAGCAGAGGGTGAAGTAAGGCTCACTAGTTCTTCCAAATTGTGATGAGTTCAGTCWAAGGACTTCCTGGGTGCTCACCTTTAGGCTTCTCACTCTCTCCTCTGAGCCWAAGATTCTCAAACTTTAGTGTAGAGTCGCCCTACATATGTAGTGTAGAGTGGCTACAAATGTGGACTACCAGGACCATAACCCAGAAATTCCCTTTCAGCAAGTTTGGGGTGGAGGCCAAAAACTTTCAACTTTTGGAAACCCCAGCAGTGATTGGTGGTGGAGTGGAGCTTGTCCAACCCCCCCCCCCCGGGGGGGGGGGCAGCCTTAGGTGTTCCCAAAGGCCAGAAGAACAGATTTTTGTTTTAGAAAAAAGCAGTTGGCTCATCTGGAGTAAGGGCTCCCGAGTTGTCAATCTCTGGGATCTCTTATCTTGGGCAAAGTGGTGGGTCTCCAAAGTGGTGGTGCAAGAGAGAAATGTGTAGATGGCACTGTTACTGCTCCCCTTACTGCCTTAAGAGACACAGGATTTACATCAAGATTGAGCCCCTACTTGCAGGGCCACAGCCTGAACCACCTGGGAAGGCGCCACCTAGGGACTATTTTCCAGGCCTCCAGGGGATACCTCACCAAGGTTCCCATTCCAGAGGGAGAAGGGCCCAGGATTTTCCCTAGAGGAGGGCCAGCTGCAGCCCCACACTGCAGGGAAGCCAAACACCTGGGCACATACACATGCACAATATTTAATATTGCTTTCTTACCCTTGATGTGTATAATAAGCTTGGAAAAGTAGTGTTATGAATATGTTGTCAGTTATGAATGGGAATGCTCTGTGAATGATTAAGATGTCTAATTGAAATATTTCCATAATATACTAATCCTTTCTAAAAATACTCATATGCATATTTGTGTTTGGGATGCCTATTAATTTATACTTTTTTCATATCTATTTTTATTTACACAAATGCAAGCCGATCTTGTTTAAACTGGGAGACAGGCCTGGCACTTGGCTCAGCCCAAGGAAAATTTCCTGTAGGGGATAGAAAAGCCAGACACCCCTCTGGAAGGGAAAAGCCCCCAAAGAGTGGAAATGGGCCTTCCTCAACAAGCATTATTTCCAAAACTCTGTAGATACATATGTGTGGTTTTTTACCCACCTATGGCAACTGTACATTTAAGGGGAACCTATAGATTTCTTTCCATCCCCTCCCCTGCTTTAATTAGAAAATCAAAAGTGTAGCACTTCTTCCAAAGCTGTTGTTTCCTCACGTCCAGGTGTCTCTCTTTCCCTCCTAGTACCCCCACGAAGTGAATGGTACCCCAATGTATCTCTATGAAGTAGCCACAGAGTCAGTATGTGAATCAGCTGCCAGGCTTCTTTTTATGAGCATCAAGTGGGCTAAGAGTGTGCCAGCTTTTTCCACGCTGTCTTTGCAAGACCAGGTATGATCAACAAGACACAGAAGTCTTGTGAGAAAGGGGGTTGGGGGACTGGGGTTGTGGCTCAGCAGTAGAGTGCTCATCTAACGAGGCGCTGGGTTCGATCCTCAGTACCACATAAAATAAATAAAATAAAGGCATTATGTCCAAGTACAACTAAAAAAATATTTTWAAAAAAAGAAAGAGGGTTGGGAAGGAAGCAATAGTACTTAACCATATCAAAAGGTACAATACCTCAGTATCTGGATAAATCACCAAGATAGGCATGCATTTTTAGGCATAATGAAGAAACCATTTATTTTTACCATCATCTTTCTAAAAATTCAAGTTATCTGCCTATGGAATTGTTAGTAAGAAATGCAATTATGTTATTTCAGAAAAGTTGGATCTGATCTATGAAAAACACTTATAAGAACATTATCGMTTTTTTAGTTTAATGGAAACATCAAATTTAATCTAAAATTTTAAAATGTGAATGCTTTTTAAAACCATTGGGAAAAAATAGTGTTTTCTTGGGAACACTGGAACTGTGAGAAATAGAAGGTGGTAAGAGTATTCACCCATGAGATTTTTGGAATTAGTCTCATCATATCATATTCTCAGCTTTATATTTTCCATTAAGATTTTAAAGATTTTAACTATTGATTCATCTGCATGTGAGATTAAAGAGCACATTGCACATTTCCTGTAGGCTAGCATCTTTTGTGATTCTTTAAGTGTTTTTAGGCATTTTGTAAACAAATAGGCATTTTGCATAATTCTGTGGTTACAATGACATTCAGAGGCAGGAAAATTATGTGCAGCTAAAAATTGCATTGTGCCAAAACCCAGAAATTTTGTTAGGAATATCAATAATGGCCCCTGCCAGCATTTTTCTAACTTTAAGGGAAAGAAAAGAAATTGAGGCATTTACAGCCGTTGACTATTACCTATGCATTCACAGAAATTAATGACAAATTTCCCAGAAAGCTAATATATAGGTTTTTTTTTTTATTCTTTCCCTCTCCATGCTGGAGATGAACCCAGGGCATCTTATAGGCTATTGCTCTACCACTAAGCTATGCCCCCAGTTCTAGTAAGTAGTTCTAAAAGGCAAAGATTTAACTCTTCATTTTATACCCAATTAAAGCATAATAGTGAGCTTTATTATGAAATATGTTTCCTTTAGAAAGACTGGGCAGAGCTGGAGGTGTAGCTCAGTGGCCCTGAGTTCCATCCCCAGCATCCCAAAAACAAAACAAAAGAAAGACTGGACAATGTGTTAAAAATATTTTATCTTTTAGCATGAAATATATCCATAATTACATATGGTTTACCTTGCACTTTACAATTATTATTTTCTGTACTTAATATGATAAAACTTAAAAATAACACATTTGAAAATTCAAACTTTCCATTTGTTTGTGATTTTGGTAGCAAGCCTTCATGATTCTTAGCTCCTAAAAGGAAATTCTTTCATATTAATCATTCAGAATTGGCTGAGTTTTGAGAGATTTCTTTCAAAACTAGAGATTTTTTTCAAGCCTGTTAGATCCTATCTTTGACCAAGTTTACTGGTTGGCTCTACGCATTTGCTCTGTTCATGTGTATGTGTGTGTTTGTATGTGTGCAAATTGGCTATATTTTTTTTTCTCAAAACAAGTATTTGTAGACTCTTTAATCCAAACAGAATTTACTTACTGTCTGCCACTTAGCCCTAAGCAAACTGCAGTGAAGTGGAATCTAGTATATTAATTTGGGAAAGGAGGTAGATTTTCATTTTAAATATTCAGTAGCGCATTTTATTAGAATGAAAATGACAAGCACCTTGATGCTGTCCACTTATGAGTCTAGGAAAAATCAGGCAGTGAGATGAGGTAAACTCAGCAAAACCCGATTAACATAATTATACCCTGATTTTCCACATGCCTCTTGGGAATTAGTGATCTATCTCTCTTTCTCTCTCTCCCTCTCCCCCCTCTCACCAACCCAACCCCCTCAACCTTCCAGGAAGATGGGGACCCACACTTGTCAGCTTAGTCAGGAATCCTCTCCCTCACAATAACAGCCTTCTGTACCGGGGAGTCCACCTGCCATGCACTGGTGATATTTCTTAGATCCTGGGTCTCTGGAGAAGTTTCTAGGTGGTCAGGAATGGGTGGATATAAGGACAAAAGGGGTGAATCCTCTTCTGAGAGAAGCAAACTTTGAGGAATTGGAATGGCTGACTCTCAAATGCATGTGCACATCTATAGGCACCTTTTCAAAAAGGAAAATATGGGAAATAAGGGAAAGCTAGATTATTTGAAAAAAAAAATTACCAAAGACAGGCATTTAAAACACTTTTTTAAATAATGGAAATTTACATACTGAAATTGTTTATAAATTTATAAATTACACACTATATTATATTATACATCTATTGTATGACAGCTGATGCTTTTGGAAGATGCTTGGAGAGAACTGTTTGTTCTAGGAATAGCACAATGGGCCATTCCGGTTGATGCTAACACTCTACTGGCTGTATCTGGTAAGAATTGCACAATTTAATGACTTTGTTGTAGAAATTACCATAAAAATACATTACTGAAAAAAGAACAACATGTAAAGAATAACAAATTCCTGCTGAACAATAGAGTATACCTGTCATTTATAAATCTATATTTAAATGCAAATAATGTTGTTTTGTTGTATTCATGACTGCTTGCATTGTTATTTAAATGCAAATTACTGTGTTTGTTATCATCCAAGAGAAGATTTTATATTAACTTTCATACAATATAGCCAGTTTACATGGAATCAGATATCTTAGAGTGACAATTGAATAGATATTGATATGCAAGATTTTGTCAAAAATCAATATTAAATCATGAAAATGCCTTCATATTAGAATATTTATCCCGTATTTTTATTCTAGGCATGAATGGTGACAACACAGATTCCCAGAAGCTGAACAAGATCATATCTGAAATACAGGCTTTACAAGAGGTGGTGGCTCGGTTTAGACAGCTCCGGTTAGACGCTACTGAATTTGCCTGTCTGAAATGCATTGTCACTTTCAAAGCTGGTAAGTAGACCCAGATCCCTGTCTCTTCTTCCCCAGTTTTGCCGCCTCATTAATTCAGCCACCTCAAAGTCTAGACTGACCTTCACAAAAAGAGGTGATGTTTTCAAGAGAATTGATCTACTTACGCTGGCCCCATCTTCAATGGCTGTGGTGACCTGCATGCTCTCCTGATGGGGACCCATTTCCAGAGCAGTGCATTCCCACAGTATTTCCTGTGTTGCCTATCATAGTTTCCTGGTCTTCATTTCTAGTTCCTACACACAGTGGTTCTGAACTGAGAAGTTTCCGGAATGCTGCCGCCATTGCAGCTCTTCAAGATGAGGCTCAGCTAACTCTCAACAGCTACATCCATACCAGGTGACTCTTGTTTGCCTTGAACATGTACTTAGGAAAATTGCTTCCATTGTGAATGTGCAAGCAGGCAGGAATAAGCCAATCTAAACATTGTGTCTAATTATCCTGTTGCCTACCAGTTAATTTAGTTAGAATTTATGTCCTCACCCATCTCTCAGGGTGGGTGAGAAGAGCAAATCAAATTAGGTGATCAAAGTGAAAGCATTGTGAGAAACATTACAACTGTCCTGGATGAACAAGTTGACCAACCAAGATAGTTAAACACGTTTGCATGAATGGATATGGGAAGGATCAAAAGCCAAGTCTAAAGTTTTATGGTTGGTATATTAAATAATGGTTACATCATTCTTGATTAAAGGTAGATGCCTTTCCTTAGATGCCACTCCCAGTAGAAGGACCAGAGAATTTTCTAGAGAAGCCATCTTTACCCCTAACATAACTGCTATTTGGCTTCAGTGATGCGTATCTGTCATTTTGGCTACTAGCAACCACAAGTTACTTCTGGCCAACTAGGGCCCTCTGGTAGAGGCTGCCCTAGCTATTTGTAGAAACTCTTCAACAGCACTCGGCAAGCCCACCAAGAGGTGTAGACTTTCTGATTCCATTTTCAGATACAAAATGGATGCAAGAGCAATTGGAGCCTCTCTAGCTTCCTAAGACAGGACTGTGGTGGATCTGAGATAGAATAGAATTGGCTATTCTTGTTTATTCTCTAGACTGATCTTGAAAGGGACCTGGGAAGGCCTGCCTCCATCATCTCAACATCAGCCATAGATACTGTGGTGGGAATAACTACATGAAATGGGTAGAGGCCATCAGTGCCTGCCTCACATGAGCAGTCAGAGAAATCCCAAGTCAGCTCTATCAGTTCGGAGTGACACCATTTCTGCTAGGATCTCCTTTTTAGTATCATAAATCCTCTTTTGAAAGATGAATGAATAAAAGTTTACCTGCACATGGAATATCATTGAAACTATGTTGAAAGATAGTGCATGTGTATATGTTTTTCCAAAGTAAAGTGCCGTAGTTTGAAATTTAAAATCCATATTGAATTTCAGAACATATCTATAGTAACAATGTTTGTTCAAAATGACAAAAATGAAAAAAGCAAAACAAAGACTAGTACATAATTTGCACACTTTTCTCCCATTAAAGTCTAACCTTTGACATTTAGAGCTGATAGGATATTAAGAGCACCAAACTAAGAATGGGATGCTCAGCCTTTGGTTCAGTCAAGCCTTTGCTGAGAACTTGCCATGCACAAGGCTCCAGGTGGGCATTGTGGGATGCCAGAAAGACAAAAGACATGCCCCTTTCCATTATGTGCAGTGGGCAGAGATGTCACTCCAGTTCACACCAGAGAGGAGAGAAAAGTAAAATGGGAAGTTGGAGAGATCAGTTGGAAGGGAGTGAGGAAAATCTGGAAAAGCTGACTAATGAGTTGGTCCTTGAATGGTGGAAGGATTTCAGCAGGGAAGAGGGGGTGCAGCAAGCCAGTCGGTAAGCTGGTGGCAGTGTTGTGGGAGGTGCCAGAGAAGTGTGCCAGGGGGAGGGCTGGGAGCCTGGCACACCAGAAGCTGCCCATAGAGTGGTCCAGGAGAATTCCACAAGAATTCCATTCTTTCTATATAAGAGAAACAACTAGTCCACTACATCTTTTCCACTCCTCAAGGAAATGATCTGTAGGAGGACTACTTCTGCTTCAGCATGATGTTCTTATTTCATGATAACAGTTACAGCTATAGCTTAATATCTAGGGTCATACATGTGACATAAATGATGATGTTGTATTCCTTAGCTCTTTCAAATCAGTTAGTCTTCTTTCCTCCAGCACTTTCCTGTCTAGGAAAATAAAATCTGAAATTGAAATGAAAAGTTAATGTGCAAATTGAGCTAATTGTTACAGCTCTGTAAATCATTTCTCTATCTAGGACATCAGGAAAAGGCTAGAAAATGGCATTTCACAAAACTATGTCATAACTGAAGTTCAAATACAGAACTCTGTGGTAGACACAAAACGTTCAAAATGGGAAAAGAAACTTCTTATTATTTGTGCTAATGGATGAAGTCAGAGCTATAAATGTTCTAAAAAATAGTTTTGAGCAGTTAGATTTTGTCTCTCTCACACATTGTTACTGTTTCTGGGTGGTACATTACTCCACATGTAATAGACAATTAATTCTTGTTGACTGTCGCCAACCAGCCTTTTCCCAAATAGAGAATAAAGGAAGTGGGTGAGTAAATAAGTGGAAAACTATTCATAGAAAGTCAATAATTAATTGTCTATGGATTCACAAAAAATGCATGCTTTCTGAGCATCATTATTTCCCACAATGGTTTCTTACCATGGGCAATGGTTGGCTTATGGGGTGGATGCTGCAGACAAGGTGCAGCTTGTCTAACTAGCCTCTGCCTCAGACCCTCTGCATGAAGAAGGACTGTTGACGAGAGAAAGTGGCCAAAGTGACAGAAAGACATGAGACATGGGAGAATATATTCAGCATGGCAGATATATTCAGCAAGGAGAAAAAATGGTGTATTTTATGTTTTCTTTTGTCTTAATGTAGATAAACTTCATTATTTTCCTATCACATTTTTGGTATGTGGTGCTGAGGATCGAACCCGGGCCACACGCATGCCAGGCGAGCGCGCTACCGCTAGAGCCACATCCCCAGCCCTTCCTATCACATTTTTAAATGTGGTCTGGTGGCCCCTGTCCATGGTGGTCATGCATGAAGCTGGGTAGTGTAAGAGCCAAATGAGGTCCTCAGAGACCCATAATGAATTATATGCCTCGTATCCAGTTGAAGAGAGAGACTCTTATTTATTAAGAGACAAGAATGATGGGCTGGGGATGTGGCTCAAGTGGTAGCGCGCTCGCCTTGCATGCGTGCAGCCCGGGTTCGATCCTCAGCACCACATACCAACAAAGATGTTGTGTCTGCTGAGAACTAAAAAAATAAATAAATAAAATCTTTTTTAAAAAAAAAAAGAGACAAGAATGAAAGTTGCTCCCCTGGACTCTATCTTCGGGGTGGAAATACCAGGCAATTAAACACAGCTACCAAATTCCTTTAAAAGAATTTTGATATCTCTGTTTCCAGCACCTTGTGGATTGGGTTGAACTTGGCTTAGCCACACAGCATGCCCTGCAGCTTGTTTTTTTTAGGTGGTTTGTTTCAGTGGAGGAACCCCTCCTTGTGGAGCGAATTGATATCTGATTTTAAGCTATTGGTTAAAGAGGTATAGGGGCTGCAGTGAGGAGGTGGCTTACAGGCATCTAAAGACAGCAGGAAATTGAACTTGCACATCTGAGTACAGATGTATGTTGGACATCAAGAGAGGAAATTGTTAAGCAATTTCTCACATATTTAATTATATGCCAATTTCATTGACATGAAAGTTGGGTGGCACTGCCACCCAACAGAACTTAGTCTTTAATTTGCAGTGTAATAAGGATGGAATTATTCCTGAGAGTGACTAAGTATAATGCCTGAATAATAATTTGGAGAATTGCTTAGAAAAAGAAACCATTTAATTTGAGGGAAGTAGCCTTGTGAAGGAGACTTGAGGACTAGAAAACGAAAGTTCTATTACTGTCTTTGTCATCAGCGCCATAGTCATTTTCTACAGTGGCAACGTTAAGTTTGTTATTTGGCTTAAAGTTAGTATTATGTTTCTTAAGACTCTTCTTTCTCTGAACAAAACGCAACCCCTTTGCTAATGCAGAGAGAGTCACCGTGTGATTTGTGCCGCGTCGTTAATCTTCTCTGTGTCTCAAGTAGTCCACCTGCAAGACAGGAACAGTAGTACCTGTCCAGGGCTCTCCTGCAGGGGCAGGATGTTATTTAAGAGGCCCACATCAGGGAGTTATACTGGAAATGGTGTGTGTTCAGGTTCAAGATGTTAATTCCCATTTGAAAGGGGCTCTGACATTGCTCTCACGGCTTCTCATATTCCAGATACCCCACGCAGCCTTGCCGCTTTGGAAAACTCCTGTTGCTTTTGCCAGCTTTACGTTCTATCAGCCCATCAACCATAGAAGAAGTGTTTTTCAAAAAAACCATCGGCAACGTGCCAATTACAAGACTGCTTTCAGATATGTACAAATCCAGTGATATATAAGCTCTCAAAGTACCCACTTTTCAGGATGGGACAGTATCAGATGAACTTCTACCCGTGGAGAACAAGCCTCAACTAACAAACCCTTCAGGAAGCAGAAACCTGGGAATGTGTAGCCTTCAGGAAAAAAATGCCAACTGACACACAACAGTTCCAGTAGCTAAGACCTGCTGCCTCCACCAGGGCAGGGCAGCCAGGAAGGAAAGGGGGTGCAAGAGGACTGTGTGGCAGGAAGTCACAGCTGCTGTGCCCTGGGAGGGGAAAACTGGGGGCTGCCACAGGCCGAGCTGTTCTGCCTCTGACCTGGAAGATCTGGCCAAGCTTCAAAAGCTGAAAGACAAGTCGTACTTTCCTTTCCTTATTAGCACATAGAGTTGGGTGACCCAGTATAGTTCTGTGTATAACATCGTACTGCAGCCTTCGGAACTATGTTATGTTGGAGAATTTATTTTAAAAAGAATGGTTAGGTTTGAAATCGAGAGTATTATCAAAAGTTTCCCTTCTATTGTAATACATCATTAAGTGGCCTTCAGAACCGAGTTAATATGTGAAAATTAGCTTATGCTGTGTGATTTGCTTTTCCTCAATCTCCTTTTCCCCCTTTCTCTTCTTTTTTTTTCTTCGTCTTCTTCTCCACCCCCCCTTTTCCTTTTCCTTCTCTTTTAATACCATAGGCCAGGCAACCTTGTCAAAGGAATTGGTGGACAAAAATGAGATTCTCACCAGGATTTCAGGTTGGATAACATCTYAAAAATAGAAGAGCTTTACTAAAAAGAACACAAGTCGAGGGAAGATGAGTAAAAACAGCAAAACCAAATAAAGTGAGATGAGTGATTGAGTGAGGCAGATTGCTGTCCCTTTAAGGTCGTGCTGAAACCAAAGGCAATGGGGTCTACACTTGTGGTTCAGCAAGTCACAGCAGACGGTAAACAAAAGCGGACACAATGCCAGAAGGAACTTCAAGGAGATGAGCACCAAGCGGTTTCCGATTGATCCATTGCTAACAGCCTGAGACTCTTCAATGCCTTTCAGAAAACTCTGGTTTCTAGTAAAGCTTTGAATGCACACACACACACACACACACACACACACACACACACACAGAGGCACGCACGCACACACGCACGCGCACACACACACACACACATGCACCACATCATCCTATGCTATAAGCTGCTCCTTTGGTATGAATCTATACTTACGGAAATGTAGAAACAAACATTTTTAAATAGCTGCTGTACTTTTCACATTTTGATTTATTAGGTACTAGCACTGAGAAGAAAATTTCAGCACTTGGACTATCATAGGAGGAGTAAAACTTTTCTTGTACAAAGTGAATTAACTGATTTGTGAAGTTAAAAGGTTGTACTCATTGTATTTACAAAGAATAAAAATATATTGAATTTAAACAAACTCTGCCTGATTTCTTTACCACCCTCCCTGGTGGGTTCTCACTCCCCAGATATGAGGTGGCAGCAGCTACAGCTGGTGTTAAAACCAAGGCTCATAGCACTGCAGCACAGAGCCGAAGGAACAGAACCACAAAGGCAATTTCCTTTTTACAGTGAATCCCATTTGTAAAATGATGAATAAAGAAATAAAACATAAGATTCCGTTCTCTACAGCTCTCAAACGTAATTGCATCTGTTAGAAAAATTGCTGTGTGAGGAAGAAAGAGGCCGATTAACGGTCTTCATTCCCTCCTCTGTTTCTAACTCTCTTGCCAACATTTCAGTCCTGACCAGGAACTTGATATCATTGAATGATCAAAAAGATAAAGCTTGAAGATCTCCACTGTTAAGTAAGATGTGGAAGGAGCCAGAGACAGTCATCCAGATGTTCCCAGCAAATCTCAGGACACTGGTCCCACTGCCAGAAGCCAGTGGTGGAAATCCAGGTGCCCAAGGTCATGGCATTCTGGGCTCCTGAATGGCAGCCCCAGCTCCTGAATGCTTATCCCTCTGCCTTTGGACAGAATGACCTTGCAGACCTGTGTGTGTGAAAGCTCCATCAGTCACACACTTTTCTACTGATTTCACAGAGAAAAGCAAGGTTGGGCTGGGGAGGTAGCTCAGTGGTAGAGCACTTGCCTAGGGTGCATGAGGCCCTGGGTTTGATCCCAAGTCTCTCTCACACACACTCGCCAAAAACAGAAAATCAAAGAGGTACTCAAATATGTATATATAAGAATGTCCCTTTCAACTCTGTTTATATTTAACAACTAAATGTCAATCAACAGACAATAGATACAGTAGATAGACAGTGTAGCTAAAGGGCATGACTAGAGCCCACACTTCACCAGGAGTCTTTTTTATTTATTTTTTATTTGTTTGGTACCAGGGGTTGAACTCAGGGGCACTTTACCACTGACCCACATCTCCAGCACACACACACACATCCCATTTTTAAAATATTTTATTCAGAGACAGGGTCTTGCTAAGTTGCTGAGGCTGGCTTTGAACTCGTGAGCCTCCCAAACCACTGGGATTATAGGTTTGCACCACTGCACCCAGTTTCCTCATGGGTCATGAGGGGAGGGGAGAAGTGAACTGCAAAGGATGCATACAGCTTGGCATCATTTATGTTAGGTTTTACAATCCACAGAATAATACTAGATAATGTTTATGGATATATGAATGTAGAGCCAACATTTAAAATGAGCATTAATATTTAAGATAAATGATAACTCATGATAATGGTTACCACTGGGTATTGGTGGGATTTATGAGGGATACCAAGAGGATTATAAAATGTTTCTGTAATGGTTTATTTTATAAGGGAAAAAGTCTGACACACCTATGAGATCAAAGATAAGATTTGGTAAATTGGGTGATGGGTCTGAGGCTGTCCATTTATATATTAGTCCAGTTTAGTTTTAATATTTCTGGCTAACAAACAACACCAAAAGTTTGTAACCACAAACTTAATTCCTTGCTCACAGGGTTGCCTGTCGCCCTTGCTCTGCAGGGCTTGGCTCCAGGGCTTCCTCATTCAAGATTGGCAGCTTCTCTAGAGCAGCTTCTTCTCACAACAGCAGCTGAAATGCAAAAGGCAAGACCAACCATGCAAATGCATTTAAAGAGCTACTTGCCTAGATTTGCTCACTTTTCACTGGCCAAATCCAGACATAAGGCCAAATTCAACCTCAAGAGGGCAGGGGAGCGTTCTCTTCCCATGGAGGTGGGACAAGGGGAGGAGATTCACTGAACCATAATAAAATCTAGTACAGTCATAATCTACTTCAAGTAGTTTCGGTAAAATTAAAAGGGAATAGGATTCCTATGACAAGCCATAGGATACTGATTCCCTCTGGAATGTCTTTGTCTGGAGGCATCTCTGCCATTACAAACAAGAACTGAATCTGACTCTCAACTTTTGAAAAGGCCCAGAAATCAGGAGCTATTTCTTCTAGATTTGGGAGATTTCTACTGGACGTAGCCTCAAGATGACTTTCTTGGGTCCTTTGACCCCATTTACTCTCATAGTTTTAAGATGGACATCCTCTAGTGGTGGGCATAGTGTGAGAGGTTCTGCAGTGGTCTCTGAAGATACAGGTTCAAAATAGACAATTTAAATGTTTGTACGAGAGAATGAGCCTGTACTGTAGTCAAAAACTGCAAAACTTCCCCTTTGGCAGTTGGGTTTTCTGAATCTGGGAGGGTCCTTTTTCAAGGGTTATTTCTATATCATGACCATTGGGTAGAAGCCTTACTTACATTTGCATTTGAATGACTTTTACTTGTCCTTTGATGCCAGGGAAGAGAGAGAACAGGAGATATGTTCAGCAACTGAATGGAGACTTTCAAATTATTTTACTTACAGTTTGAAGTTTTTAATCAAATCGAGAAGTCCAAGAACTGACCCCATTGGCCAGAGACCTGTATATGGCTGCCTTCCTTAATCATTTTTATAAAAATGGAAACACCCTATTTTTCTATAAACTTTGTGTGTTTGTGCACATGCATGCACGTATGTGTGCACGTGTGTGACTCTCTTCCAGTGGGTACACAAGGCTCTATCTCATTCAATTTATCTGCCTAACATTCCATTTTACAATACACTCTAGTTTATCCAAGTAAGTCTTTGTTGATGGACTTGAGTTACTTGCAGTTTTTCATTATAACAAATGAAACTGCAAAGAACCAGGCTTCTATGTACACTTTTGAAGACTTGTGGGAGAATTGCTGTAGGATAAATTCTTAGAAGTGGTGTTTCTGGGTCAAAGATTATATGCATTTTTAATTTTGATAGCTACAGCCAAATGGCTCTCCAAAAGGGTTGTATCAATTTGCACTCCTGCCAAGAGGGTATGAGAGGGCCCATTTCATTGCTCAGAATTTAAAAGTGCTTAATCAGACACAGGCTTGATGAACACTTCAGAAGCTATTAGAAAAATACAGAGAATGCATATGTTTCTATTATGAAAATGCCTCTTTTACAATGCTTATTGGACTGGCTAAGTAGGTCTCACCCTGTACCCATGGTCAGAGCTTGGTTTCCCCATATTTCCACCCCAGGCCTCTTCTTCATTAAATTTTGGGAGTATCCATGTCACAATGAAGTCAATACAAAGTAGGTGAGTGAAAATGTAGAAATAGCTTGTCTGATGCTTTCTGTAACTAAGATGCTGATCTAAGAAGCCCAGTTACATGGGGATTAAGTGTAGCTCAGCGGTAAAGCATGTGTTTAGCATATATGAGGCCTTGGATTTAATTCCTAGCTTAGGTGGAAACTAAAGAACATTAACTCTCCATAACTAAATAACTCTAAATAACTTTTACCACAAATGCCAAAATGGCTTATTTTCCATGTAGTCTGTATTTTTAATGTTGTGAGATTTTTGGAACTCATTTGGAACATGAAGTAGCCTTTTTCTCTGAATACTGCTGACCTTCACAGACACTGTTCAAGCAGGTCATCAACACTTTCAGCTGCACACTGTCAGCTGGGCTTGTCAGCAGTGTGGCAGAGAGCAGACTCTTGGATGAAGAAACCAGGATGTTGCCACATATCCTGGGCATCTTTGTGATGTGACAAAGTGCTGTCGTGCTCTTCTGGGAAGCCATGAGTGGAGTCAATGTATTGAGGATGCCAAGGTCATGGGTTTAATTTTCAGAATGAAGATTAAATGTATCTCTAATACGGGCCAATCACACTGTCCCAGGACACTAAGATTTGGCTTACTCTTTCATGAAGTCTAGAAGACAAGCTGTAGCTCCTGACCCACCAATGATCAGTCCAGGGCATCTTCTCCCCAGCCATAAGCCCA